TGTTTCTAGGCGAATCAGACATGTGGGATGGTGCCCCCGTCTCTTCCTGGTGTGTCACAGTTCACCTGGTACATCCTTATCTTTTTCAATTCACCCACCGTGTGCTTGGCATCTTTAACACTTACTTTCGATTTCGCCGTGGCTATCCGTATTCTGTATCCATTGTGCGAGTGTATGTATACACACAGGGATGTGTACGAGCGGTGGGGTACATTGGTGTACAGTTGGGTACAATTGTGTCACCACCTCAAAATACTCCACCACCCTGTCTGACAACCCATTCACACTGTCCGACTACCCAACCACCATGTCTGACTACCATACCACCCTATCTGACTTCCCCACCACCCTGTCTGACTACCCAACCACCCCGTCTGACTACCCCACCACCCTGTCTGACAACCATACCACCCTTTCCGACTACCCCACCACACTCTCCGACTACCCCACAACCCTGTCCGACTACCCCACCACCCTGTCTGACTACCCCACCTCCCTGTCTGACATTTTAGGAAAAGTATTTACTACAATATTAAACAAAAGAATTTCTAAATGGGTGAACATGCGTGATAAGATTCAAGCTGGCTTCAGGAAAATATATTCTTCCTCAGATCATATATTTACACTTTATGCACTTATTCAAAAAAAACTTGTCACGGCGTAAGCATAATTTGTATGTATCATTTGTAGATTTCAAAAACTCTTTTGGTTCGGTTAATCGCTTTAAATTATGGACGTTTACGAAAAGCTTGTTTACGTTGGAAAATGTTTACTATTCTAAAATCAATGTATTCTAATGTGAGATCATGTGTTCGTTGTGGGGATGGTGTAACAGATATTTTTGATTGTCCTTTGGGCCTAAGCCAAGGCTGTATTTTGAGTCTGATCTTATTTTCATATTCCATTTATGAATTATATGACGAAATAGCTGTCAATGGTAAACATGGTATCCAAATGTTTCCAGGTTTGATAGAAATATTAATGCTACGATGTCAATTAGTGTCAGATACTGTTGTTGGTTCACAAAGGCAATATTTTAAGTACACACATGAAAGAATGGAAATTATCAGTGAATAAGGGAAAAAACTAAACTTGTGATCTTTAGAAAAGGTGGTCCAATAGCGTCGAAAGAAAGATGATAAATCGATGGTCAGTCAGTCAATATAGTAGCTCACTATTCATATTTATGAATCTGGTTCTCACACACAATGAACTGAAAAAAAATATGCCCTTGTCTTGTCCTTGCGTGCAAAGAAAGCTTTAATAAGTGTAATGTCTATTGCTCATAAAGTTGGAATGATCTCACCTAATATCTTCTAATATAGCTTTTTGATACCCAAATACAACCAATTTTATCGTATGGTTTTGAAGTATGGGGATTTCAACGTTATGACTGTTTAGAGAAGGTTCACTTGTTAGCATGTAAAAGGTTTCTTTGTGTCGGGTCTTCTACACAACATTGTATGGTTTACGGTGAATGTGGTAGATACCCATTATATATTAACTCTCAGATGAGATGTTTAAAATGCTGGTTTAAAATCTTTCATATGCATGAACAACGTCTCACTAAATTAGCTTATAGCATGCTTCCACATTTAGATAACATGGGAAAGAATACTTGGACATCGCATATAAGGAATCTTTTATTTTCGCATGGTTTTGGTTTTATATGGCTATGTCAGTCAGTTGGAAATGTAAATATGTTTCTTAATGAATTGCGAAATCGGTCTATAAATATGTTCTACCAAGAATGACCTTCCACTTTAGAGGATAGTTCACGTTATGAAAACTTTCAAGACATTACTTCAACTAGAAATATATTTATCAGTACTCACTACAGAAAAACTTAAGAAAACATTTCATTAAATATCGACTTGGTTTACTAGACCTATTTGTCAATGAAGGAAGAAAACTGCCCATTGAAAAACTGAAGAGAATTTGTCCATTATGTAATCTAGAGTTAGAAAATGAAATTCATTTTGTGTTTGTCTGTCCATTTTACAATGATCTTCGAAAGAAATATATAAGAAAATATTTATTGTCATCGATAAACGCCTTTGTAGTTATTCTGACGACAAAGAACGTATCTATATTAAATCTTTCTCTATATATTAAGCATGCATTAGCCAAAAGAAATGAATTCATCAAACAACGTGTATATCCCAATGTGTAACATGTATGATTGTATCTACATGCGTTACTCTCTCTTGTGTATGGGCCGGAGGGCTTTATGTACAATAAACTTCTTTGTTATACCCTCCGGGCCATCATTTGCCCGGTCTGACCACAAACCATCAGAAAATTATTATGTCTCTGACCTGACCTGATGAGCAAGCATGTGTATCGCTCGTCACATACCCACACCAAACGTTGAAGATCATCTCTAATCTTAGGGGTTTGAAATGCGTCTTTTAATTAAATGTTCACTAATAAATTAAGTGTATCTGCTGTAGAGATAGTAGTCTTAAGAGAGCAAACAAACCCCTTGAATAAGACTCACGTTGTTAACATTAATTGTGGCGATCCCCGATACACGCTTGCTTCATAATACAGGTGTCAGTGTCACACCAACAGATACAGTGTTTGTTCCCCATATAGACTCATACTTTGACACACAAACAGATACAGTGTTTGTTCGCCATACATACTGACACTTTGACACACCAACAGATACAGTGTTTGTCCCTCACACAAACTGACACTATGACACACCAACAGATACAGTGTTTGTCCCCCACACAGACTGACACTATGACACACCAACAGATACAGTGTTTGTCCCCCACACAGACTGACACCATGACACACCAACAGATACAGTGTTTGTCCCCCACACAGACTGACACTATGACACACCAACAGATACAGTATTTGTCCCCCACACAGACTGACACTATGACACACCAACAGATACAGTGTTTGTCCCCCACACAGACTGACACTATGACACACCAACAGATACAGTATTTGTCCCCCACACAGACTGATAGTTAGACATCCCCACACGGACAGTACTTGTCTGATATTCCAGTATTCACTCTGTAAGGTTTAGTCTGAATTATTCTGTAATATGAACTTATTATATTGTTAGGGGACGACTCGGCGGGTTGCCTGACGCTATTGTTGTAGCATTGTACCCACAGGCGCGTAATAAGCCCCACAGCAATAGAGTTATCCTCCTCATTAGCAGATGTGGCTCTCCCGGGACGTACAGCATACAGAAACAACCTTGGTAAACTCTATCAGGACATTTTATGGCATTGCCTTTTTAGGCACTTATATTAATCCCTTATTATACATAAATTGTAGCGCTATTCGTGCAAGTAAATTTTGGCTACACACATATAAATTATAGCACTATAAGTAATGCACATGATACATGATATATTCGTATATGAATTTAGTGAGTTGAGTTGAAATAGGGTTCAACGCCGCGTCCACGATTACTTCACTCTTTAGCGACGTGCATGAGTGTGTGCCTGCTTGTACTAGGCCGGACTCATGCCGATTTTATAGTACTAGCCCATTGAGATACCATGCGTCAGTTTAAACATGAATACAAACAATGCTCGGTTTCAGGCCTAAAACTGAGGCAATCTAGACTTGCCAAATCATTCTAGATTTGAGTTGGGTTTATTTCTTAATATGTTCTCTAGGGTCTGGGGCACAGACTAGGCTCACCAGCACAAGGGCATACAACCGGATTCCTCAACGTTGCACAGTCTCGCCAATGACAAAAGGGACATCTGATAAAAAGTCGCTGTCGCTGTTCGTGTAGGCCCCACGTAGTCCATCACACATTTACAGATGGCTTGTCGTTGATGGAACATGCAGACCATTCATTTGGCACTGGAACACTGCATGGGCTTGCGTTCTTGGCTTCTGTCTCGACATCTGTGAAGATGGTGGTTGGCTGTAGGTTGACGTCATGGGCAGTGGCATTCTGCTTCAGGGAGGTGATGTTTGTTTGTTGTTGTTTAACGCCGCACTCAGCAATATTCCAGCTATATGAAGGCGGTCTGTAAATATATTCGAATTGGACCAGACAATCCAGTGATAGACATCACGAGCATCAATCCACGCAATTGGAATCGATGACATGCATCAACCAAGTCAGCAAGCCTGACCACCCGATCCAAGAATTCTACATAGGTACATTGTCGTCAAACTGACAATAGGGCATACACAAGTGTGTACAAAAGCGTGGACGGTGTATATTTGTTAGAAGGGTGTAATCGATGTACCGTGTCTATCAACCCCTTAAACACATCCGGCAAAGTGGGTATACGTATTACGTATGCTTGATTGCACATTAGCATTATACAAATATTATACTCTGAATGACAAGAATGATGGATAGCAAACCCTAATCGGCGAGATGAATAAGATTCTCTCAACGCCATAGAAAGCTAAATTAGCTTTAGTAGCAAGAAAGAAAAACGCTCTCATTTATCAATCCTTTTTTAACGTTGTGATTAGTTAAACACAATATTGTAAATCAAACAAAGAAAGAATACACATTCTGGTTGATTCTTTGGTTGAAATGAGTGCACTCTTCGCAGTGCTTTAGAGAAGAAATAGCATAGTTACCTCCCTGTCCATGTCATGCAACTGTCTACATGAAATAAACCATTGCACAAAGCATCGATCATCATCTATGACAGCTTGTCAAGGAAGTGAAAACAGGGAACGTTCTTTGTGTCGGGCTCGTGATGATGTCTCAGGTATGGATAATTATTCATGGACATGCAAGTTTGTCTTAATTGGGAACAAGAGGAACACTGTCCTTTCTGTAGTGTCCGTTCATAACTTAACGGGCTGTTCTGTTTCGTTAACACTCGGTTCGTAAATGTACCGTCACAATGATCACAAGACAAACATAACACGTTCGGTTATTGCTTTGTGATAATTATGGTAAGTGTAATCTCATTACGATATAGCTAAAACTAAACAGTTGTACATGTTAAAAAATACCAAACCGTGACATAAAAACACAAATGTAGGATGTTATATTTTATTTCAGCGACTATATAATTAAAGCAACATAAATATAATCATGGATGTATTAGTGCACAAAAATAGTTTATATCAAACCGGCAAGTCAATTTACTGTACATAAATAATGATAGACAAGACATATTAGATTTAAATAATATAGCTATAAATACTTATTCAACAATTACAATGTGTCAAGTCTTTATCGCTTTAGCATTCGTACAACAAATTCGGTATACAATCACAGATTCACACGGGACCTTTCCAATTACGAGCTCACAAAAACATTGATAATCGAATATGAATAAAGACATATGATAAAAATACGCCGTTAGGGGAAACCATGACAAATGCATGGTGTTTCAAACATAAATGATAAATATCAAAAGTAATTCATTTTGTAATGGAATGCTTGGTTACTCTTTAGTGTATCAATGACAGTTAAAATATCATAGAAATAACATGTGACTCCCGTGACTTAATTCAAATGAAAACAATAGGTTTTCAAATAAGTTCCCTGCGATGGATGCGTCTGTTTGTTTTTAATTACAACAACACTTTCAAATGACACAGTGCACATTTCTATCACAATATGCTTGTCAGTTATCTGGAACCCTCCAAAAAACTATATACATGATGTTTTTACCACAGGGATGTACATAGATTTGAAGTCCAATGTACTAGCACTGCCATGGTAGGAAGGTGCCAAGTTCCCCCAGCGGAGTTGGGTTCTTCATCCAGTCCAGAACCTGTTCAATGGATACAACATAGACATCTTGCATGGACACTAAAGTCATTATGAATCTGTCGAGTCCTGCCAAGTTGGGTTTATAGATGAAGTGGGAGAACCACTGTTGTCTCAGTGTTACACCGAAAGGGGCTCGGTTGCCATCGTAATGCTCCTTGAAGTTCCGCCACAAGAAGTTGAAGGTATCGTCTGCTGTTGGTGGGTTGAACATGCAGCCGTCAGCGTACGTGCAGGGATAGCGTTGTGTGTAGTCCAGAAGAGGTACAATGGGGACCTCCCATAATCCAGGATACGCCTCAGTGGGACAGCCACTAATATCACATGTATCCCTCCAGCGAAAGTCGAGCGTGTAAGGCCAAGCGAAGTCCCCTTTGGTCTGAGGGTTTGGTAGAGACAGAGTGCTATCATACAGGAGGTTTTGAGACTTGAGGATCTTGAACTGGGCGTCTCCAAGAGGTTTCAAAGCGGGGCTTCTCCACCCTTTGAGGTTTCTGACGGGAAGCTTGGCTTGGAGATAGTTGATCTCGTTGTTCAGGTCTGTCTCTAACGAGTTGGATCGTCGATATGCGTCCATGTCGTCCCCTCTTAGCCCAACTTCCATTCCCATGCCTGCCAGACGTTTGAGGTAAGTCATGTAGTTACCACTCTTAGACACGAACATTGTCGCTGAGATGGAACAGTTATTGGGATTCGTTCTGTCAGAATCAAAGAGATGCACGAGGTTCATGTACGAGTTCACGTTGACTGGGCCATCGAAAGTGAAATACACCATCTGAGGGGTTTCTGTCTCCGCTAAACCCCCTGGCGGGTGGGTTGTTCTGCACATACAGCCAGGTAGCCTACAGTTCCAGCCTTGAATACACGGCAATGATGACGAAGAGCGCGAGTGAGATGGGAGTCCAGATGATGCAGTTGACTGCAGGAACTGCATTTGTGCTGAGCTCAGTACTCGTGTCGCTCCCCCGTTTTTTGCTGCTGTTGTCAATAGTTTGCTGACAGCTGTCGGGAAGGAAAGCTTGGGCGTTGATGACTTATGTTTGTGAGACACTTGAGGAGACGATTGTGCAAGTTCTGTCGGACGAGTGCCTGACACAAATGTCTGCGACGGATGCACCTTTGTAATAAACTTAGTGCTTTTGGTGTCTTTAGGAGTTGTCGTCGAAGGAAATCGAATATTTGTAGTGGGCTTCATCGTAGTAGAAGTAGTAGTAGTAGTAGTAGTAGTAGTAGTAGGTGTTGTGGTTGTAGTTGTCGTCGTAGTGGATGTTGTTGGCGGTGTAGTCGTGGTTGTTGAAGGCGTAGTTGGTGTTGAAACTGACGTAGTTGGTACTGTGGCATTGCTTGACACATGCACTGCGGCACATCTCCATGAAGGTAAAGTCTGTAGTTGAGAAATGGGAGTAGGTTCCTTCATCCAGTCCAGCATCTGCTTCACACTAACAATATAAACATTTTTCAGCTCTCGCACCTGCTCAATAAACCTGTTCATAGCATTTAGATTATGCTCGGACCAGAACCAAGCGGCATGCATATTAAAACCGAACGGTGTCCGTGAACTATTATAATAATCTAAAAAGTTTTGCCATAAATATTTAAAAGCATCTTCCTCTGTATCTGGCCGGTTGAAGCAGCCATCAACATACGCGCAAGCGTAGGCGTTCTTGTAGTCCACTAAAGAATTGACGGGTACTTCCCAGAATCCAGGGTGGCGAGATTCAGGTTTGGGACACGGGCGTACCATGCAGCTAAACGGATACCCATAGTCCAGGGTGTAGGGCCATGGGCGTGCCATCCCTAACTTGCTTCGAGTGTAAGTCAAAGATATGTCATAAGTGTAGCCCAAAGACTTAAGAATATCTGGTTGTACATCCCCAGCTGTCTTCAGATTGGGGCTACGCCATCCGACGATGTCTTCAATTGGAATTCGTCCTAGGGTGGCCAGGTTCTTTCTCTGCTGACCCGCCTCGTACCTGAGTTTGTCCCCAGTGCTGATTGAGGTGTGTGTGACACTGTGGACTCCGATCTCCATCCCCTTGTTGTAAAACTCATGCACCAATCGGTAGTCCGTGTATTGATCTTGGACGTACAGACTCATAGTTATTGGACATCCGTTGGGGTTCTTTCTGTCGGGTGAAAACAGGCGTCGGTAGTGACTGGCCATTTCCACATTCAAAGCGTCATCAAACCCAAAGTACACAATTTGAGGAATCTCCTCCAAGTCCATATTTAGTCGCGACGTACTGCAGAAGCAGTTTGGTAGTTGACAGTTTATACCCTGAATACACTGGGACTGAAGACTCCCCCTGACAATAGTCAGCACACTCAACACGACTAACAGCATCGACTGCCTCATGTTCGCTCGCGACAAGTGAACGTGAAATGTCGGTACTGTCTTGATAAAGCTGTAAATTCAGATAAATCAGAAATATGTCGTCTGCTTGGCTTATTTCTGGTCGTCTGCTTCAAAGGTGCGCGCTGTGTTTGCCCATACACTGTCACCCAGTGATTACCGTTCCTTTTATAGCCGAGGGGCGTTTGTAGTCTCTTGGTGACGTCACGGCGGTGTATGAGTGACAAGGGTGCACGCGCCAATAGATGTAGATAAATATATTACTATATCGTAGGTGGGTGGGATTGGTAGGATTGTAACCAGGATTTCAACTCGTACAACATATAAATACACACGATTCTGAAAATGCAAACACTATTGGTTAAGGAACTTCCTTGATGCGTATGTGAAAAATAATTTCGTATTTGTGTATCTTGTGTAATACAATTAATTGGCTTCTGTTTGGACGGACGTTGCCACCTGTTGTAATTAATGCATGTATTCTTTACGTTGAATTGTAATATCCTCATATTTAATTCATTTACAAAAGTGAAATCGTTCAAATGCTAAAGAACTGAAATAATGCTGATGCATTTCAACTCACTAACTCACTCGAATGCAACCAAGACACAACAATAAATGTATACAAGCTAAGAGACAGTTATGGTATCTGATCAAAATAATTTTAATATAAATATGTAATTTACATGCGTTTATAAAACGGGGTGGGAATTGGAACTGTATGGATACAACACGGTGCTGCATGTGGCCCTGTGTATGCCGATTATCAGCTCACTGCTCATATTGGAATATATGTACACCCAACACACCAAAAAAACATAAATGAATCATTCTGTGACCGTCTTTGTGATCCAGTGAATAGGGCGTTTGGCGGAGAGCGGAAGGTCTGTGGTTCGATTCCTGGGCGCGTCAAACCAAAATATATTAAACGAGGGTTCTTGTTACCCTGCCTGGTGCTCGGCATTAAGGGGGTTAGGACTGGTCGGCTGGGCGTTGGTGTGCTCGCAGTGGGCTGGGACTATATTTCCGGCTTTAGTACGGACAAAACACACACAGACACACACGCACATACACACACACACTCACCGCCTGACAATACGTGGTGTAACAGTCATCACAAGACAGACGTACGGAACGTGTTTTACACTTCTTGTTTGGCTGAGTAGTTAAATTGAATATAGACACACGATTATGAAATTCGTATCGGACTCTTAATTACCATATGATGCTATCTCACTGCGCTAATATGGAGGGACCCGATACTTAAGACTGTTGTGTACTACAGAAGAGTAGGTAAATAGAGAATTTATTCATAGAAACTCTGAGTGCACAGGTCCATAATATAAAGCATTTAGTAAAAAGCCTTTATGTCAAAATGATTTAATTTCTATATAACGGTTATGAACATATGTTCAAAGATTATACTTTACATCGTTAACCTGTCAAATCAATATACCACAGCCATACCATAATCTATCCCCGCTGACATGACGTATCTTTTGGAGATACCATCATCCATAAAACACATGTAGTTACACAGGTGTAAACATATTGAACATCTCCCCTATTGATATTGATGATAGTTCGCCGCTGTGAATGCTTCAAATACATTCTTCTTTGCAAACATGCAAAAGAAAGTAATTACATTCCTGGAAACAATCTTACATATCGCACTTTACTCCGAAGAAGAATTTTGTGTTTTATCAACTAACTCCAGGATATGGTAGTGTTTGCCATCACTTTCCGAGGGCGGTACTTGGAACATACCAAACATTATAGGAGAAAACCTAGCAACGGCACAGCAGATAAAGGTAGGATATACAGTGAGAGAAAAATACAATCTTATTGCTTTGTGCTAACAGTAAACATTGGGTAGTGTGAAAAGGGGGAATTTACAGCTACAGGAGAACGTCCTCAACTCACTGTGTCGTTTTGAAAGTGATTAAAGAGGATGGGGATATGTAACGATAAAACATATAATTCGAGTTAAACACTTTATAAGTGTTAGTTTCCTAAAAGCGTTATTTCATTTCGTGTGTAGTGTTGGCCAAACTGCATTAACATATGCCCACAAGCCTATACAGTGCCATTACACAGCCGTGTTACGAAGTTCAGCTACTGACAACGGCAGAGAGCCCAAACTTCAGAGTCCTTTCAGCTGAATATACTTGCGTGTTGACATTCGTCTTCCAGATGAAAAGATCGAAGCAACAGTATGTTCTCAAAGAAGGGCGACTTAACATATATATATAAATTAACGTCTTCACATCAACTCTTGTGAAGCTGCAGATAGAGAACCTGTACAGTCCAAACAGTATTTATCAATCCTGTTATAGTCTCTTCCGTTCAAAATACGCTTTGGTAATTTGTCTATAGGCAGGTGCGCGAGCACTGGTCTATGAACCTATGAAATATACACTAAGTATATCAAATACGTCTACACCATGAAATATGACATATATTGGAGTAAAATTACATACACCAGTTGCTTCTGCAGCCTGCAGTCATGGTGCACATGTTTTATGAACTATCGGTGTCTTCAACAGGTTTGGGCACCTATCTCTGTCGATGTAACTAACTGCAGCGTCAAGAAGGTCACGGGGAGATTGAGCACCTACTTGAGATTGTACTATTCGTCTTTCTTCACTGCCATCGGTTATATGTCGTACAACGCTAAAGGTAATTATAGCAATTATGGTTGCATCATACAATTTATTACTTTAACCGAGCTCACTCTATTTCACGATGCACCGGTTTTCGTATGTTCATTATTATACTATGTCGCAGATGGATTATAAGCCCGGAGACTTATTTATTTAATAGTGTTTGAATAGGAAGAGCTAATGTCTGTCGTTGACAGGAGATTTCTCAGCAATTGACATCAGTGTTGTACCGTACATCATGGTCGCTAAGACACCGCGGGCTGTGTGACAACTGCAAGGCGGGGATTGATGTCCCTCACATGTAAAATCAAATGCAGACATTAGGTGAGGTGAAATGGGGCTTAACGTCGCGCGTGTGTGTGTGTGTGTGTGTGTGTGTGTGTGTGTGTGTGTGTGTGTCTGCTTGTACGAGTCCGGACTAATGTGGATGTTATAGTACTAGCTCACTGAGGTATCATGCCGCAGTTTAACATAAATACCCCACTCAGGTACAGTTTACTGACTCTGAGCCGACCAGTCCTTGTTGTAGCCCCTTAATACCAAGCGCCAGTCAGGGTAACAACAAATACCATCTTTTATGTTTATGTATGACATGGCCGGGGATCGAACCCCCGATCTTTCGCTCTCCGGGCAGACACTCTCCCACTAGACTATGGAGGCGGTCTTACAGGCATTAGGAATTCTTGCATGGATACCTGGTATAATGATCATGCTGTTCATATCTCTTGGTTCGATGTAACAATAAAACCCCAAATGTTTTAGAAAGCTGCAAAAGATTACAATAACACCAGAGCTTTATGAAGAGGAAGCTTGAGTCTGGTTAAACAAATGATCAGATGCAACCAATGACAATACGAATAATCGTCACAAAATGATGACGATATCATTTTTGAAATACTGAAACAAAATCCTAATCAGAGCACAATCACATCGTACTAGCCTTATGCCCTTTGTGTCTAAGAGACAACCCCACCCATACCCAGTACTCATAGACGAGTGCCACACATCTCAATACCCTAAATGTGTTTAAGCCAAGAACGGATGTTTCTGTAGGCCTTTGTTGATCTTGTGTTACTTTGACAATTTTCCCACTGTGCCATCTTATCAGGTGCATGTACCTAGGACGTGATGTCATGTTACCGTATCACAAAATATGCGAGCTGGATGTTGAAAGTTCACCCAATGTACAATGTCATTGTAAAACATTTCGCTTATACGTCAATTTGGTCACATTTATTTCATGACTTGTCTCTAAACTTCGTTATCAACGTGCTCATTAACAGCTATGACGCACATATGTTGTTTTGGGAGTTTCAAATATTTACAAAACTGAAATACGGTTTAATTGTGTGCTTTCCAGAGTGTTTTACCACCATGAACTGGATTCCATTGATTGTTCGTGTAGACTAAAGCGTGAAACTCCTAAATAACACGTTAAAGCACACAGCAGTAGATGTAGTTTACATGTACATATATTAGCAAAACTAAACTTGTTTTCAAAATCAGAGTGGATTGTCTGGTTGTGCGGGTGTGAGTAGAGAGGGGACGCAAGACAATATTAAGTATCTATAAGTGAAAACCAAATACCAACTGTACAAATTCCATGTACTTGACAGATGATAGTATCTCCGATTAGAATAACACAGCTCTAAGGATGGTCGTTGGTTCGGGTCCTGATAATGATCTTCGGTTTGACATCAAAACTTTACCGATGTGATACCCGTCAACGACCATCGTGTACTATTGATTTTTCCCTTCGTAAAAAATGTTCAATGGGGTCTTAGTTTTCCTTAACGTCTATAGAGGTATCCAGATTCTGAACACACCCCAAAACCCATCCTGTAACTTAAGGTGAGGTGAAATTGGGTTTAACGTCGCGTCCAAGATTATTGCACTTATATAGCGACGTGCATGCACGTGTATGTGTGTGTGTGGCTGCTTGTACTAGTCCGGACTGATGCCGATTTATAGTGCTAGCTCACTGAGATACCATGCCGCAGTTTAACATGAATACCCCACTCAGACACAGTATACTGACTCCGAGCCGACCAGTCCTTGTTTTAGCCCCTTAATGCCGAGCGCCAGACAGGGTAACAACAAGTACAATCTTTTAACGTCTTTTTGTATGACGCGGCCCGGGATCGAACCCTGGACCTTCCGCTCTCCGGGCGGACGCTCTACCACAAGACCACGGATCCTGTAACTTAAACGTGTTTGGATAAAAAAAACAAAAAAAACAACATTTAAAACATTAACATATAATATTCCATTAGTTATGTATGTGTTAAGGGTAATATCCGCTACTTCGTGTTTTCGGGGAGTGGGGTCGGCATGTATCCGTGAGAGGTTGGCCGTACGCTGTACGGGGGCGGTGTCATCGTTGACGAAATGTGTGGTCATGACTGCAGACTTGCTCGAGGATAGGCGGTGGGACCGGAGGAGAAGTGGCAAGCTCATCCTGCAATATTTA